GAAAACAACACATTTTTCATTATTGACGACCTTTATAGCACGTTGTAACATGTTGAGGTAGTGCAACACATGCCACCATTTTATTGGGTGAAAAATATCTTTATTCGTATCTTTTATGTGACGATCTAAATTAATTTATATGAATAAAAAATATTTTAATATTATTTATGATCTATATGTTTTGAAGCATAGAAAAATCGACAGTATAGAGAATATCACCTTAGTCATCATCTCTACCACAAAGAAAAACCACAAATTATCAACATGTAAACAGAATCTAAATTCAAATACATACACACAATAAGAAAATACAAACATGTCAAAAGTCAAAATAATCATAATCCAACCTCAAATACAATAACATTGGGGCAAAATATGAACAAAAGAAAGATTCAACATCACTATCGTAGAACTACTCAAAACTAAGGTACAAGTCGCTGGGGTGACACTTTTACTGTGGTATAGATCAAATTATAGCAACTGTTACTGTGGTCACTACTCCTACCGCATAAAGTCCTAACTATAGCAACCGTTACTGTGGTCACTACTACTGTAGAAAGTCCTAACTATAGCAACCGTTACTGTGGTCACTTCTCCTACTGTAGAAAGTGATAACTATGGCAACCGTTACTGTGGTCACTACTCCTACTGTAGAAAGTCATAACTATAGCAACTTTGGTCACTACTTCTGTAGAAAGTGATAACTATGGCAACCATTACTGTGGTCACTACTCCTACTGTAGAAAGTCATAACTATAGCAACTTACTGTGACCACTACTCCTACTATAGAAAGTGATAACTATGGCAACCGTTACTGTGGTCACTATTCCTACCGTAGAAAGTGATAACTATGGCAACCGTTACTGTGGTCACTACTCCTACTGTAGAAAGTGATAACTATGGCAACCGTTACTGTGGTCACTACTCCTACTGTAGAAAGTGATAACTATAGCAACCGTTACTGTGGTCACTACTCCTATTGTAGAAAGTCATAACTATAGCAACCGTTACTGTGATCACTACTCCTACTGTAGAAAGTGATAACTATAGCAACCGTTACTGTGGTCACTACTCCTACTGTAGAAAGTCATAACTATAGCAACCGTTACTGTGGTCACTACTCCTACTGTAGAAAGTCATAACTATAGCAACCGTTACTGTGGTCACTACTCCTATTGTAGAAAGTCATAATTATAGCAACTTATTGTGATCACTACTCCTACTATAGAAAGTGATAACTATGGCAACCGTTACTGTGGTCACTACTCCTACTGTAGAAAGTGATAACTATAGCAACCGTTTCTGTGGTCACTACTCCTACTGTAGAAAGTGATAACTATAGCAACCGTTACTGTGATCACTACTCCTACTGTAGAAAGTCATAACTATAGCAACCGTTTCTGTGGTCACTACTCCTACTGTAGAAAGTCCTACCTATAGCAACCGTTACTGTGATCACTACTCCTACTGTAGAAAGTGATAAATATAGCAACCATTACTGTGGTCACTACTTCTACTGTAGAAAGTCATAACTCTAGCCACCGTTACTGTGATCACTACCCTTACTGTAGAAAGTCATAACTATGGCAACTGTGGTCACTACTCCTACTGTAGAAAGTGATAACTATACCAACCGTTACTGTGGTCACTACCCCTACTGTAGAATGTCCTAACTATAGCAACCGTTACTGTGGTCACTACTCCTACTGTAGAAAGTCATAACTATAGCAACTGTGGTCACTACTCCTACTGTAGAAAGTCATAACTATAGCAACTGTGGTCACTACTCCTACTGAAGAAAGTCATAACTATGGCAGCTGTGGTCACTACTTCTACTGTAGAAAGTCATAATTATAGCAACCGTGACTGTGATCACTACTCCTACTTGTGCTTTACGACCGGTGGTTGATAGTATATCTAGAATGCAAATGTCTAAGCGAATTTCCTTAATTAATAAAAACAAGCAAGCAAAAAGAGGCACATAATGATATGATTTTAAATTTTGCGATATTGGTAAGGTCGGAATGCTCGCAAAAATATCTAAAAGCAAAATATACGACATATTTTCTCTTCCTATTTTTCGAGTTACTCTCAGAATAAGGTGGTGAGCATTTTATGGTAGTCGGGGAGTTTTATGAAAGGAAAATATTGAAGGTCATGTGTTCTTTTTGTCTCTTTCCTGGATTTCAATTTGAATAATGGTTTCATTTGATCGTTCGTATTTTCTGATCAATATATACATATATTAGATATAAGCACGCATTTTGTCTTTGCATGTTGACGTTAAACAAATCGTAGAACATGTTTCAACTAAATACACATATATACTCTGAAGCCGAAGGCGACATTAGGGAATAATTAAAAAGCGTTTACAACGGATACATGATACAAAAGCTTCCCAAAATAACGTGAAAGGACGTTAACTTATTGTGATTGCACTGGAACGACTGCTTCAGCATTCAGAACACACCTTCCGACTCTGTTTTACAGTAAACCATACTCTATATTGATTTATTTTCCTCTAGTGATAAAGAAATATAATATTACTTTATTTATCCTCAGGTAGAATGTTTGTATATCGACTTTCGACTTACAGCATTTGCCCTGCACAATGACCCTAGTTAAACGGTGTGTCAATTCTGCTTGCCAAGGCCTTTATGTACCGTATACATGTAATAATCGGAAAACAAACGTTTGTTTAAGAGTTTAGTGTTCATCGTCAATATTGTATTAATACAAAAGTTCATGAATAGAGTGTATCCTTTTTATGGAAAGGGAATTAATAGGCTATATGGTAATCGATTAGCTTGATCCATGTCAATCGTACAATTATTACCATCAAAACGTGTCACACATTTACTGAAACATAGATGTAAGAGTTATAGTAATCTAAAATAACAGAAAGAAAACAAGCATTGTGTCATCACAGTATCACACAATGTACCAGAGATAAAAACTAAAATTAAACTGATATATCTAAAAGGAAATTAATGCGAACAGTTTAGTCTTTTCCGTCTGAGATTTAATATACACAGCGACATCCGACAATATCATAACACTAATCATCATGTCGATATATATCAGGATTAAAATAGAAAAAAAAAACTATTTTAAGCACACGTCCCAGTTTGGTATGAAGGTGTAACGACCAAGCACGAGACATATAAGGATGCATCTGTTTTGTTTTCGCTTTAACTCAAATAGCATAAAGACACGAGTTGTTTGGAGAAAATGGATTTGCTAGACATTAAATACAGTTTAGAAGAACAAAAGATAAATGCCTCAAATTTATGTAACAATTACACGGTTTACTAAATCTATGCGACGCTAGTTCCCATCCCCAATGCTACTTGATTTTAATAGTTAATGAATGAATTATACGCAATTTCTTACCAATCCAAATTCAGTTACGAAAAAGGACATACTACTAGACTGTTTCCTACGATAGTTCTTGACGACTCTATTTATCATGACTGTAAAACGCTACATTACTAAGATAAAATCTTTGTTATTTCACTGTTAGTCGTTCCGTGGTGGCAGACCCGCACACCTGAAAACATTACCACCTCGTCACACATTTTGTAAACACATTTTAACTTTCAGAATTGATCAAATTAATTCTGACAATGATTCCTTTCACCACGGTTGTAAGAGAAGCTGATAATAGCTGGATGCGTGCAGTGGTATATGGGAGTTTGATCTCTCTGATAGTCTCGCTAACTGACGTTGGTTTGACCGTGTAGGATGTCTTTACATCAATAACCCCGCCGAACGAAAACCTTGTTATAAATGTAGCTCCTACCACATGTTGCTTGGGTATCCATTATTTTATCAATATTGATCTGACAGGTTTTGTAGTAAGCATAAGAATCCATATATTATTCGCCATGTTCTTAATCATATTACTATCAAGGATATCGGTGAAGAGTTTTTCATCATTTCCCCCTAAAGCTTCTGCATCTTCACAGCTTCAAAGAACGAAATGTAAACCCATCTTTGCAATTCAGAATTTACTTTAATGAAATATATTTAATGAGCAAAAAATCATAAAACATATTGTGTTTGAACATCAAACGACATATTTACGTTTCCAATAAATGATACTAAAGTTTACTTAAGATAGACCTGATATACATTGTTTGATATTGAGCCCTCAATTTGTCCGAAAGTAAATTGGTTGAACAGTTATGACATGGGTGAGTCTGAATTAATTTACGGAATATGATATAAATCATTTATGACTTTATTACGAACTCAAACACCTGCTTCTTAGGGTAAATGCTTACATCCTTTTTTACATTTTGCCTTAACAGAGCACAAAATAATAATTTCCCGACGATTTGTCATAAATGTCATTCTTATGTACTTATTTAGGAATGTGTGATATATACAATATACTCTTATTCTGAGTCCCTTCCTGTCGACAAATCTGTCACTGCATGTCACTATGGCAATGATAGGGGAATGGTACCGAATGCTACTTTCAAACTAAAAATGTTTATCCTTGTAACAACGATACTTTATAAGAAATAGTTCGATAACAAAGAAATACAAATGCATTTCTATCACATATTAACATCACTTGATTTTTTTATTTCGACAAAAACATGCATGTTGACAAGTTGTCTGTATGCAGTTATTTCAGTTTTCCGATCAGGTATGTAAATTTCATGTATTGATATTGTATTACCTCTATTGTATTCAAATATGACTTATTTAAAAAAAATCCACACCCAAGAATGAGCTTGATGCTGGTATTGAAGACTGTGCTACTTCTTGTTGCATAGAAGAGATTAAGAGAAACATGCCTACCGCTCTGTGCCTGGATGTTTCGAAAAGCTGACAGATTACAACTAATTAGTGACATTCAATAACCTGGTATACGACATAGCACCAAATCGATATATATATATATATATATATATGATATTTCGACTATGTATGTAAAACTTTTACCCTATAGTCTCACAAGGAGACCTCCATCGTGATAGCCACTTACCGTTCGAGTCGTAATGATGCCAAACATCCATGAATTGGTTAGCTGTAATCTGCTTAAACTCTCTCGTATTCAAATCCCGAAATTGTCTCAAGAAATTTCCCTCGGCGGTCGCTGCCATGTTTTATGTATATTTCCAAATTAAATAAGTTCAAATGAACTTTTAAGTGAAAGGAAAATGTAAAATCTATATCTCCTAATTGATTCGATCTAAGCCTATTTTATCGAGAAGTGCTGAGGTGACACACACGGTAATGTTACGAGACGGAAACTGCTAGGGATCACATGTACAGAAGTTGCTGAAACAGAATTCAATAATGTTCGCGCACGCGCAGAAACGTAATCCACGTAACAGGTGTATGTATCAAATTTAGATACATAGACATGAGAAAGTGTATAAATGCAATGATTGTGACCACTGACCAATTGTGTTTTTTTATAAAGTCTCGAATTGAATGTTTCACATGCGTGATAACAAAGGACACGTGATCTTCATTAGAAAGCTCTGGAAACGACACCAACTAATACTTTGCTCAGGTGGTAATCCCGTCATTCAACACATTGCCAGCAGATGATTGCTACAGTATACAGATCATGAATTCACAGTATTGAATATTTGTCCCCAAAGCGTGACGCTGACTACGATACGATGTACCTAGCGCTGGTTGGTCGTTACGTTTCCTTTCACGTGTGATGGCGTGCACAGATAATTACCTTGTGCTTCTGTCTTTCGATTTTTAAGAAATATTTCATAAACGTTCTGTGTTATGCAAATAAATAAGAGATGTTTGCGATATCCCGATATTGATACAGTGGTGGTGTTGATCAATAAAAAAAAAAACAAATTACCTGTATATCACATTAACATTAATATTATATCTGTACCTGTTCATATTTCTCCCCTATGATTATATAAAATTATATAAACCTGAAGTCGATATGTAATTAATAAGTTCTTGATATTAACGATTAAGCTGTGATACACACATTGACCAGTTATAGCATGCTCCCTTTCTATAGTCTACGTCGCAGAGCTTTCTACTGACTTCGCTATTTTCAAATCCATCACATTATCACATGTGGCATTGCAACGTTCGTTATTAAATCAATTTGCAAAAACAACCACATTCATTTGACGTGAAGACTCCGTTGAAATGCGATATTCTTTATACTAAAATCAATATAAATGTATAATGATCTACCTTCTATAGTATCCCATACAAACATATTTTATTGTGTCGTAGACTTTGATATTTGCCATACGTACCCAATACTTAAATGATCGTATGTCTGGTTGACAATATTTTTGTCGATATGGCAGATACGATCTAATAATATACTACTAGAATACCTATGGAAACATACATGTTTTCTAAATAACTTGTTTTGGTCTAATATATGAGGTTAAATTGCTTGAAGACTTTCTCAAAGCTGGTCATAATGACCATGTAAACATAATAGTATCTGTTATCGTGTTCTACAGGTTGTGTGGTATATTTTTCAACCTAATTGAGACCATTCCTATATCAGGGACAGCATTACATTGCTTAAGGGGGAAAGTGACGGAAAACTACAACAGAAACACATTTACCTACAAAATGATCGGGTTTCTGCTTGACAACATCTTCGTCGAGTTTGGTGGTAAGATCGTCTAACCGACTACTGGCTCTGTTGACCGACTTGTTTTCGAAGAGCTTGTCAAAACAGGTCCCAAGGACCTTGAAAAGTCATTTAATTTCACCTATAGATATATTGATGACGTCTTGTCTAAATAACAAGAAAGTTTTTTTACTACGTCCATCGTTTATATCAACCAGAACTGGAAATCAAAGATACGACAGACTCTTCTACATCAACCGCTTATCTCGATCTTTTCGTACAATGAAACCAACATGGGCAGTTATCCATCAAGCTGTATTGTAGACGTGATGATTTCAATTTCCCTATTGTGAACTTTCAATTTCTGGATAGTAATGTCCCTACATCTCCAAACTGTGGTATTTACATGTTACGGTTGATTCGATGTTCAAGAGCCTGTTCCCATTATCACGATTTTCGTGCAAGAAGTCGTCAACAGACTTACAAACTTGTAACACATGGGTTCAAAAGAAGCAGGATTGTGAAAATCATGGGGAAGTTCTATGGTCGTCATAGCGATCTCATTGAGAAATATTCTGGTTCTTTATGTGACATGAAGCTGTATTTGCTTGTTTGTTTGAGAACGTGACATTACTTACTTAGATATCCAACGTTCACATGGTTGGTCTCGTCGATGAAGCAGAAGACGCTTCCGGAACGCCTAGTCTTATTCTCCTTGTAATTTTCAGAAGTCTTCGTGTAAATCTTTCTTTTGTTCATATTTTTCTCTAGCTTTATGGAATTTGAGATTATGTTGCCATGTTGGTATTTTCTTGGTGTTTTTCTACAACACGTAAAAAGGTGATTTGATTATGTAAGGTACATTAGTAATTGACCTGTCTACATAATATTGTATATGTGGTTTAATTGTTGTAAACATCATGTTTTATGTGCTATTGATGTTGAAGGTGTTATCGATGGTGAGACTCTGTTGTCCTCGTGTGCATTCCCATTTTTAAACGATAGGGATAGGCGAGGCTGTCCTCTCCGAATGTGTCTAGTCAATCAAACAATGCATGACATCAATATTATTATACTGTAAACGAATCGTAAATATATAACGACTGTAAAACGTCCCCTTAATTTTCAAACGATCGAGATAAGCGGCTGATGTGGAAAAGGCTGTCGTGTCTTTGATTTCCAATTCTGGTGGGTATATACGAATAACGTGGTCGAAAATGTTTTAGTCAAGTAAAGGCAAGACGTCATCAATGTGGCTGACAGTGAAATTAAACTACTTAACAAGGTCTTTTTGACCTATTTTGATGAGCTCCTCGAAATATCTAACCTCGTATAAAGGCGAAAACAAATCAGCAAACAGAGGGGCGCAGTTAGATCTGATGGGTATGTCAAAAGACGTTGTCAACCAAAAACTTGATCATTCTTATGATTTCGTCCTAGTTTTTCTTCGATTTGGCCATATTTTTCGCGAAATACATTTGGGTATATTTCAGAACCATATATTGTATCGTAAGACGAGCCAGCAACAAAACTTTGTTTATATGGATTATTGTGAAGTTAAGGAATCAAACATAAACGAGGGAGGTCCGTATCCTTTATTTTGATAGTCATTCTGAATTATTGTAATACCGAAGCGAAAGATTGCGTAATGTAAAGGTGGGATTCCATTTGTAATCAAGCAAGTCTAGTTCTTTTTATATTGGAAATGTAATAACGTCTCTACACAAGGATCAAGTTATTGGACGCCTTATATGCAGGTACAGAATCTGTATTATAAATTTTGAAGTGAGAGTTTAACATCAGGATCGAGGTACACTGACCTGTATTTTCATTTCGTTTTAGATTTCAAACTGCCAATTCGTTTAAGCGCGATATAAAAAATCCTTGTGATTAGTCCATATCAATTTATTCATTTATATTTCTCATTTCTTCTAAAAATTGCTTTATAACTTATAGACTTCATTCAACATACATTCCACAATGTGCTATTCCGATTGCGTTCGTCTGAGGATTGTTTCTGGAAACCCGTAATGAATCATTTGAGTAATGCATCTGGATATTTATTAAGAAAAAATACTTCTTCGTGTCGTTTTCATCTTTACTGAAACACAAACGTATATGCAGGTGAGAGGAAAAAACACTCTTCCAACTGTATGCCGTTTGTGAGAATCGATGACACCTTACGAGTCCAGAGCTGTTTCCAGTCTACACCAGCTGTCACAGGGGCGTATCGATTTTTACATCATTTCCCACTGTTGTGTGCTTATACATTGAAACAAGATACCTTGTGACTGACATTCAGACCACCAACTAAACTGTCATTTCTCTGCCACCAAGACAACGATCAAGTCAAACTTTTCTACAACCAGGTCTCAAAATTAATTGTTCTCTTTTTTATTATCTACTCCAACTGTTTTTTACACAAGCAAAACAGTTTCCTTTTCCATACTTGAAAGAGAACCATTCTTTCTCCGCCATCGTGATCGCTAATAAAAATACACCCTTTTCAAAACCACAAACAGAAATATCTTTTCACTGAAAAAACATTCTTTTACTCTGAACATGCTTGCAGGCATCCACTGGTGGTGAAAGATTCTTTTAATCACCTTTTCTTACAAAAACCTGAAACAAAACGCCCTTTCTGTGACATCTACAAAGCAAATACAGCTAATTCAAGCAGTCAGTCCACGGACAAATCTGTCTCCTATGAATCACAAGCAACCCTCCATTAAACGGAGACTGAAAGACATATTACCATACCCAGACCACAAAAAATATTACACACAACAGCCAAATCACAACCAAGAATGGAAACTTGTGGCACATCTATGAAATGCAAGACTGCCGCCTATTGGTCATTTTGATTCACTATTAAATAGGCATAACCAGGGATGAAGAGTAACGCCAAGTTTGAGAAAAATCCAACAGTAATTCAAAATAAATGGTGAGACAAATGAACCACGGACGAAGGATGATTCGAACAACCCTCAAATCTGATGATGTTCGGCTAAAAACTTAGTAAAAAACAAATATTTTGTTATATACATATAACGATAGAATGATAATGATTCCAAATTTTTATTACTTTGAAGGATTTCAAGCCAGTATTTCAGTTGTTAGATAACTGGATTTTACTTTCGTGAGATGTTGTTATTCAAATATTTGTGTAGGGATTGAAAAGGAATATAAAGACTGTGTGACCATGATCGCTTGATCATAGTCTCAGTCTGATATAAACGTATGTAAAACCCAAGTCAACTGCAAACTATTTAGATCCGTCTGGATTCGTTACTTGTTAATGTACAGTGAACAGGGTATAAACCTGTACAGAAAACTACATCAATATGGTGCTGCTTGAACAAGGCAGGGTATGTTATAAGGAGAACGAAGATTTCTCTCATTTCGTTTGATACATCATTTTGTTGTACAACAAACCACTGAGTAGGTTTAATGTGATAAATGAATGCAGGCATCATTATCAGAAATCAGTGAGAGAGAAAAGTCATTATGGAACAATTGAAA